CTGAACCCTGAAACCTTGAACCCTAAATTTAAACCTGAAACCTAAACCCTATAGTCCCCCTTAAGTGGCTTTGGGTATAATATAATGAGACTCCTATATACCCCATATTCTATCTACTTAAGGGTGAGTATAAACCAACAACACCCTGAACCTAAACCCCCATGGCTGTGGCAGTATGTTCTCAGCTACAGGGGCTGTAGGTTTCCCATGCACCTCTATTCCAAGTGCTGATATAGTAGGTGGTCAAACTCATGTTTCTTTGTGTACCCTAAACATTCGGGAACGTATTATGATTGGGACCCCAAGAGGACCATGCCTTTGAAAACCTACCATATAATAGGTGCATGGGTGATGCAACTCCATATTGAGATGAAGCTTTGGAATACCGGACGTGGAGTACCTATTTCTGGCTGATTCCTCACATGAACCGCTTTACCGTAGGGGCTTAGTTAACATCTGGTTTCCGCGATACTCTGACAAGATGTCAAAAGCTTTGGTTGAATTATTAGGGCCCCTTTAAAGGGGCTTTATAGGGGGATATATAGGGATATATGGGAACTATATAAGGGTCCAAGATACTATGTAAATCCCAGAGAAAAGAAACCGTCAGGCTGTCACAATGCACAAGAACTCTAATTGAAGGCTTCTGACCAACCAAGTCTGACGTTGACTCGCATGTTTCTACCCAGCAACGGTTTTAAACACAGGGCCCCGTTGGTAGACTGCATGGGCATTATGCCCCAGGCACTTAATGTTCCAAAGCTCAGAACAATCAAAGCTGTTAGACATCACTAACGCTGTCAGCTAGATCCTGGCAAGCCCAAGGAAGCGTTGAAGCCTTTAGAACTACCTCTCCTATGCTTCACACTTTCACCCTGGGCGAACCTTCCCGGCTGCGGTCTTGGCAGCCTCCTGTGACAGAACCTGCCGTCGGCATCTCAACATATTCAACCTCCTCAAAGTATGATTCATCCCGCGGCTACACGCACGAGGAATTTCTTAAAACTACGGGACCCCCGTGGTGGCTTTTACAACCTGAACCCTATGATTTCGGGAAGGGGGCTCTGCATTTTTCACAAATGACCTACTATGTCTGGATGGTCAACCTATGAACGCAAGCTGACAGCAGGATTCAAGGGAGCGGACTAGACCTAAAATCGCATGCGTTTTATACGTTTTGCCACCCTTCTGAAGCCTCTGTATACATGACGGATAAGAAGCGGATTGCTCCAAGCCCAGGGTAACCCAAAGCCCTGTTTTGCCCTCAGTTGCAACCAAGGCAGCTTTCGTTTAGCAAGCTTTGTACTTGCCCAGACCTGTAAGTCGCCTACCGCCATCATTCCTTGCCTTACGATATGTGCACTAAGTACTTCTCCTTGCGCACCTTCGTCTCAACTCCTCCTCTTCCCTCCGCTGCTTGCTGCGGCTACAACTAGCACTAATGAGCACTAGGTCTATGCTGATGGTCGATACTCCTCCGCCTCCTCCTCCTCCTCCTATCGCAGCCCGCCTTGGCAATGATCTCCTTGTTTTGGTCGTGCTTGTCAGCTAGGACCCGCAGAGTTCTCTCAGCCATGTGGCGACCCACCATAGTCCTGTGTTGCGATGCTACTCTTATGGCTTGAGAATGAGTGACCCCAACTATCTGGAACAACTGTGTTCTATACGGACTTCGGAAACTAATCTAGGAGAACATCTGATTGTGTTGCAGATCTGAAAGTAAGCATCCGCCTAGTACTGCATGCAAAGGAAACTGTGCGCAGGGAAGCTCTTCCTGGCTTCCGAACTCTCCTGAGAAATAAACCTTGCTCAACATCTATGAAGGCTCCCTCCCATCAAGAGCTGCACGAGAGGCATGACCGCACCTTCACGTGCAATGTCCTCCTCCGCAGTTTGCTTTCAACCCACATGAGCTACTGTCAACACTTCCAAGTGTGATTAATGGACGTGGGCTCCTCACTAAGGAGTCTCTTCAGGACTATACTAAAGCATAAGGACCCCCTGTACTAAGAGCGCCAATGGAAATAGGGGAGGGCAACAACTTGGAGAAATAGCCACCTGGAAGTTTCTCAAAAGACAACACTAGGGAGTCTGGGTACATGGACTGAAAAGAGCAGGATTGTCAGAAACTTCCACTATATGGCATCCCATGAATCATCCGAGCAAACCC